AAAAAAAAAAAAAAAAAAATTATTAGTAAATTTGGAGCTATACTGTGACTTAGTATCTGTTGGAACAAAGAAGGATACTCATATAATCACGAACGCATGTGAGTTTGGTGGAATAGAAATAGATAAGGGGGAAGGGATTTGGGACTTCAGGGAGTATTAGGTTTCTTTACTATGAGTGATTAGGTTTCTCAAATATTTGATGCAAGGAAGGAGACTGGAAGGCCATACATAATGCCACAATAAGCTAAATATTTCTGGTAGGTTAGTTTGTGAACAGCGTATCATCTGGTTGCTTAGTGAAATAAAATTTCTGAATCAGAAAAGGTGAGAAAATGACCCAAAAGCTTAAGGATTTAATCATGTGTCAGTAAACATTTTCTCATTTATATTCTGGAATACATTATCGTTTGGTATGTATGTGACAGAAATATCTGCATGGGAGATTTCTTCTAAATTCCATGTAAAAAGGAAAGCCTGTTTAGAAAATGGCATGATTTATCCAGGTTCTGCAATTCTCACAATATATATATGACAATTTAAGATCTCCACGAAATTTCTAGCATCCTCAAAATTAATTATCTGTATTTTTCTTTCACTTCTTTATAAAATGAGAAATAACAACAGAACTACAGATGGCCCCACCTTTTATATGTGACATCTTGGCGTGTGGTCTTCCCAGGTTCTGCCACCCCAAGTCGTGGTTGGAGTAGTGGCCGTGGTTTCGCTCTCTGTGCCGGGTGCCATCCAGAGCTGGGATGTGGGGAGTCAGGATGCTCTCAGTGACCGGGATGCAGAGGCCTGGAGACGGTCATGTCAGCAGTTAGTTAGACTGATTCAGTTCTACCAAGCGTAGCACTTACCCAGCTGTTTTCCTGATGTGAAGTAGGAGGCCATTTCCTATCATCCGTCTGTCTGTCTACCTATCATCTACCTGTCTATCTACCTACCAGACAGATAGACAGGTAGATAGATTATCTACCTATCATTTGTCTATCAGATAGACAGATAAATGGCAGATTATCTGTCTGTCCACCCATTCATTTATTTACTTATTGACTGAGATTGAGTACAGCAAACTTTGGCCCTGGAGCCAGGCTTCCTTGATTCGAATCCTGCCTCTCTCAAGATCAAATGACCTTGGACAAGAATAGAAATAAAAATAGCATTAATTTCACTGAGTTATAGCAAATACATGTGAAATGCTGAGAATAATGACAGAATTACATTCATGATAGCTATTAGTATATAGCTATTAGTATTTTTAAATCATGGGACCAGACATACATCTTCTGGTTCCAGGTTCCTTTCTTAATCAACAATATACTCCTAGTCTACACTGTAAACTCCTCCAAGGGTGAGATTTTCTTTCCTTCACCTCATGTCCAGAGCTCAGGAACAGTGTGGGAATAATTGTTTTGTATGATTACATATATATATTTCTGATTACCTTCGGCAATTATTTAATTTTTTTTCATCATCATGTGTTATCTGCGATTCTTCATTTCATCATTAATGTTGAACTGTCTGCCTATAAATTCCTTGAGATCCAGTGAATCCGGGCTCGGGTAGAATCCCGTGTCTCTACTTGGAGGAACCACTCCCTCCATCACCTCAGGGTGAGCCACGGAACGTCTCGGTATGAAACTGGGAGGGAGACCACGACTGCGTCACTGACTCACCTCGGGTCCCCTCCTTTGGTTCTGGTGCATGTGTGTGCTGGAGTAGAGCGTCTTGCTGTTTACAGACAGCACCGCAGTGTGGCAGTGTCCTAGGTCAGTGTAGACCGTCACCTACAAAAGTGGTCACACTCCAGGAAACTAAGACGGGGGAGGTAACCCAGCTAACCTTACCCACTAACGCGGTCCTTACAGTTCAGGGGTGAGACTCGCAGGACAGGCCCGCACGCCACGGAGCTGCTCACCGTTGTTGCAGCGGGTCCCGGGGCAGCACATGCCGTCGCGGTGGCAGCGCTTCTTCCTCCTCCGGCACAGCGCGCAGGCCGCCGGCCCCTGGTGGGGGCTGTGGCAGTATCTCCCCACTTCGCACTCCTTGTCGCTGCTGCAAGGGTAGGCCTGTCGCCGGGCGAAACGACAGCGAGAGCAAAGGATTAAACCCCTCACACGTCAATCGAAGTACGACTGTCCTGAGTGTTCCCAACACAGTGGCCCTGATTCGGGACCTTGCACTGATCACTGCTGGTGACATGAAACTGACACTATTCATATGTTTCCAT